AATCGGATGAACGCAATATGTATGGGAGCTATAGCTATATCTCAACCGATTTCCATGAAATTTGGCATATTTATTTGCTTAATTTGGCTTAATTTGGGCGTATATTCAAAATTCCGTAGTGTTTGGGCTGATATAACACAATAAAAAGCAAATCAGTCGCTTTGCGTCGTACATGTACACAAGAGCCACATAAATCGAAGCGACGCAAAAAAAAATCTCCTTTTTCTATATAAAACGGCGCCGAACTTATATTTCTCTGGACAAACAAATATTCAAAAGAAAAGAAAAACATTTTATAATTGTTATCTCTTTTTGAAAAGCCACTAAAATCGGGACAACGCATAACGGAATTGTAGTGTAATCTGTACCCCTTCAACAAAGCTGTTGAAGAATATCTCATTTTTTTAATTAAAGGATATTTCCGGTAGGATGTAACCCTTGGTTTGACATCCACACTGATACCTTAGCCTGAGTAATTCATGATCTGAAAGTGGTTCCATTGGTTGTTGAAAGGATTATCTACAGGCTAGGCCTTCGGCACTAGGACAGCCAGTGTAATTGAAGGGAAAAGGCAGTAATCGCTTTGTGTTGCACATATTAGCCTATACCACATTAAAGAAGCTGGTAACGAACTTCTGTTCTTCACCAAATCCGAAGCGGACACAGTCTTGGAATGAGTATTACCATCATCAATGGAGACAAGTATGGGAAATGTATCGTTGAAAAAAATGTTTTCTTCAGAAAAGGACATTTAATTCAAGCCATTATTAGCTTGAGTCGAATTACACATTATTTTGTCCGGTATCCGGAGATTGCCATACGGCGTAGATTTCGTTCTCGCTCAGAGATCCTACTCTACTCTTTTGCCAGAAATGCTACAATACAATACTACAGCAAAAATATCCTTTCTTTGTCCCCACTTTAGACGATTTCCTTTGGTGAGTGATAACAGCAATTAAAGTATGGAATATCTGGAGGGGCAAAGATGTTTCGAAAAGGTTCAATATATGGCGTAGCAAAACATCCATTTTGAATCCAATAAATATTAACTTTTCAATGGGCAATGTACAGAGAATTTCGAAAAGTAACCCACCCTTCCAGGCTTCTGTGATTAGCCATGTGTTACATTAAAAAAAAGTAAGTTTCCGTTTCTAAAATTTCCGACGCAATATTCTTTTAGACGAGTACTTTACGGCACTCTATGGAAACATTCAATTAATGATTATGAGTTATTTATATAAAAAACACAGATTTAAAAATCCGAACGATTTAATACCGCCATGTATACACAAGCAAGAAAACAATAATACACAAGAAATGAGATATTTTAGAAGGGCTTACAAGGAAAACAAACAAAAATTAAAGTCGAAGAAAAAAAAGAAACTAAACCAAAGGCGCGCATACATTCATATACATATATTATTTATATATTATAAACTCATAGTTTAAATAACAAATATACATACATATACATATATAATTTGTTTATAAATTTATAATAATACCTAAATTAAAAATTAATAAAAAAAACGTATATATGATTCAGTTCATTTCATTACAAAACAAAAAAAATATATTTATATATTTATAATAATTAGATGTTTTCAAACATTTGTAGAAACTTTGGTATTCTGTGTGTGTGTGTTTTTTCTATATAAAATAAACCTAGTAAAAAAAGAGAAAAAATAAAGTTTTTTTTTGTAATCAATAGCATAGCATGTAGTTTGTGAAGTTACAGATGAATGAAGAAAGAAGGATTTTTTGCCGTTGTTGTTGTCGTCGTCGTCTTTATCTCCGATTTTAGTATTTTGTGTTGCTCTTGTTGCTTGTTTTTATTTTCTGATCGCACTGATGTGAAGTGAAGATGGTTAGAAATTAAGATGTTTTTAAATTTATTATTGCATACTATATAAATTTTAAACAATTCATTATTTCCAGTGGCCACAAGTTTTGTCTACATTGGATACTAGTAGATAATATATATTTTTCAGGGTTTAAAATGCTAACTCCAAATTAGTAATATGCCTGCTAAAAAATCTTGAAACAAATTAAAAAATATCAGTCGGTATTGCCGACAGATATATACCCTCAGATATATATATACAGATATATACCCTCAGCCTATGTTCGATTAAATAATCGAAATATATTTAAGTAGTGTTAGAATTATTCAAACGTTTGACCCTCTATGGAGCCGGTTCCGAAGGGATGGGCCAATATTTTCCATTTCGTATCAGACCAAAAAATATGATATAAATATTCCGACGTTCCTGGTATGGATTATATCGACTCACTCCTCCACTTTATATGAGATATGTAATAATATTTAGAAAATGTTAAAATGTGCGTGATGTACCAGATAGAGTCTACCGAAATAATCCATTTTTATACTTCATCTGATACAAATAAAAAATATTGAGCGAAATATTGGGCAAAATTACAAGAAAGGATATTTATGTCCAATTTTATGTGAAATCATAAATTCCGATAAATTTCATATTCGTATCAGGCTTCTCATTGAAAGAAATATTTGAGCATAGCAAGTAGTAAAGAATTGCTAATTTGTTTCGAAAGTTATGACAGATAAAATTATTGAAATTTGTGACCCTTCGTGAGTGAGGTACCAGAAGGGGTTCACAGATATATATCAACTTCACAACAGATCTTGTGTTAGCAAGTGTGAAATTTGAAGAGAGTTTGATGCTTATATCGCTTTATTTGAACGTTTTGTTTTTCAAAATCTTGAACCCTATGTATGGGGGGGATACCAGAAGAAATGGTTCGATCTATACCACCTTTATAACAGATCTTGTGTTGATAGAAATATTGAGATGTGCCAAGTCTAAATGGAATCAGATCTTAATTTAGCGTTTTATGAGCATAATGGGTATTCAAAATTTCGACACTTTGTGGGGGAGGTACCAGAAGAAGTGGACCGATACATTCCATGTTAACACCATATCTTGGGTTTATAAAAATATTGGAATGTGTGAAATTTTGAAGACTTCCGGATCCTCACATCACATTTTATAAGAGTTATAATTATTCAAAATGTTGACCCTTTGTGGGGAGGTACTTGATGGATTGGACCGATATTGTCCATTTTGGCACCTGACCTAGCACTGATGAAAATATTAGAATTCGCAAAGTTCGAGCAGAATCGGATTATTGCTTCTCTTTATGTGCAGAAAATATATGTATATATATATATATATATATATATATATATATATATATATATATATATATATATATATATATATATATATATATATATATATATATATATATATATATATATATATATATATATATATATATATATATATATATATATATATATATTTTTTTTTTTTTTTTTTTTTTTTTTTTTGAAATTTCGACCTTTTATGGGGTTACCCGAAGGAGTGGACCGATACATTCCATTTTCACACCAAACCTTGGGCTAATAAAATTATTGAGATGTGTGACTATCGGTCTCTTACATCACATTTTATAAGAGTTTTAATTATTCAAAATTTTGACCCTTTGTGGTGGAGGGCCCTGATGGAGTGGACCGATATTGTCCATTTTGGCACCTGACCTATCACTGATGAAAATATTGGGATTCGCAAAGTTCGAGCAAAATCGGATTATCCTTTCTCTTTCTGTGCAATAAATTATTTTCTTTGAAAATTTTGACATTTTGTGTGGGAGGTGCCAGAAGGAGTGGACCGATATTGCCCATCTCCGAACTCGATCTAAGTTTGACAAAAATATTACGATGTACCAAGTTTGGACCAAATCGGATACTCCCTTCGATAGTTATCCAGCCAGACAGACAGAAGGACGGAGGGACATCGGTAGATCGACTCCAAATGTTCTAAAACGGATTTGGCCCAAAGAAACATAGGGTCTAAAACCGTTATTTCGCCTAGGCATGGCTGAGGGTATAAAAGTGTAGCCCATCAATGAGCTACGCCAATAAATAGCAACACATTACAAAAAGATTTAGCCGAGAGAGCTAATGCGACTTGAAATCGTCAGCAAAGGCAAAGTAGCAATAAGCGGCTGAAGCTAAAATTAAATTAGCCTTAGCATCAAAATAGCTCAGAACCAAAAAAGCAACATGACTGCTGCTGCTTAGCTCGTTTTTCAGCTAATCATTTGTGAGTTCAGTGTTGCTTATAAAAATTTCACGTCGTATGAAATGCGACAATTCAAAAGTAAACTCAGATTAGCTGACGAGCTCGAAAACATATGTACGTGTTTTATTAATTTGTACCTTGACAACACACAATCGTAAAAATATGTTTTCGGCTGCTCATTCGGCTAAAATGAAAATAGCAGCAGCCGAAATCCGAGCTTTTATTTTGTGTGCTGAATTTTTAGCTTTATTTTCGGTTAAACAAAAATAGCTCGCTTATCAAAAAACGAGTTAAATAGCTATACGCTGAGCTAAATAGCTGAAAATGTGCTATTTTAGCTGTGGCTGTCAATATTTAATAGCAGTTGCACTGAAAGGCTCAGGCTAATTTCAATAGGTGCTGGCTTTTAAACCCTGAATACGACTTTTACAAATTTCGTATGCAATATTATACAATTTAGTTTTTCAGTCCATATTTGGTAGATGTTTAGAATTCCATTTAAAACCGTTTTTTGTGTTAATGCTCCCTTCCCTATGTACTTTCATAACCTCAGGACAAAGATTGGGTTGCTGATTTTTGCATAAAAAGACATGAGTATTACCACCTTCTCTTCTACTTCATAAATACAATTTTATAAAAAAATACGGTGGGGTTATGGAGACAATGACTCAAAAATTCCATACTTATGTTTAAATATAGCAAATATATGTTAATATGTATATGTAGTATGTGGTGGTGGTGGTGGAAAATCATTATGCATGATTAAAAAGGAGACCCTATAAACACATGCAATGATTTTCTTCCTTTTTTTCTTTTTATGTTCATAAAAATGGCTAACTACTTTCAAAATAAATGGATTTATACGTTTATGAATTACTTGTGTTGGTGTGTGTTACATATATTTTAGAGAAAAACTTGATTTTTAAATTAAATTGACTATGCATTGTTTTGTTCTTTAACTATAATTATTCTTGTTTACTTTTCTTTTTTGTTTTAGAAAATATATTTTACCATCGACAACACAACAAATTTCTTTTTGGATGGACCAAAAAAGAAAAAACAACTCACATTTTATTTGTTTTGTATTCGTTATTCATCATATTCTCTCACTCTCTTTCTCTCTCTCTCTCTCTCTCTCTCTCAAACATACACTGGTGACTGGTCATCCATTACATCAGGATTAAGTTTATCATCAAAGAAACGTCGAAAGGTGAATTCGAAAAAGCCATGAAACGGTTTGTCCGAATCATTGAACTCATCACCACTCATATTCGAATCTGAACGCAGTTTATCGGGATCGATAGGATCAAAATTTGAAGTATCAGTTGGATGTTCAATCTTTGGAATATATGGAGCGATTTGACGCCTCATATCGGCAAAGTCAACACCTTTGAAGTAGTCGTGCGCCTTGACTTCTTCGGCTTTCTTGCCAAGACGTTTATCGGCCGATGTACACAGTCGCAATATTAGATCTTGGGCTTCCGGCAGAAGTTTTGCCTGGGGCGGTATATGTAGAGTCTTTTCCCAATTTATAACCTGCAAATGAAAAAGAGATCAAAAGAAAAGATTAAGGGTTAGTGTATGGCAGATTTTGAAAGTTAATGTCGTAGATTACCTTTTGTTGCGTTTCAACTGGGGTATTGGCCAAAAACGGTGGTTGACCTACCAACATTTCATAGAGTATAACGCCTACGCTCCACCAATCACATAACTGTGTGTAACCACTTCGCTCCAAAACTTCGGGAGCAATATAATTGGGTGTGCCCACCAACGAGTGGGCCAATACCCTTTGGTGATCACGTAACCTTCGCCTGAAAGAAATTTAAACAAATAATGAATACAATTTCACTTTATATAAACATATATATTATATATTTAATATAAAAACGTAGAAGATTTTTTAGAAAGTTTTCCATTTTATCAAAGACTTATATTTGATGGTATCTTAAGAAGGCCAATAAAACAAATCATGGAAGCATTTTTGGATATTATTACAAAAAATTAGTGAAAATATTCGTTCGAGCACTGGGTCAGAACGCTTGGACCTTTAAAAAAATAGATCTCCAAATCTTTCTATGTAAGATCCCTAGACAGAGTATTTAAAGGAAAGAAATATTCGATCTTTGTTTGGAGGAAATCTAGATATTTGTGTAGAAGATGATTGTAGGAGAGAATGAATCCGGACATTATACTCTTTATACATAATACCCCAAGAATAGATGCTGGAGGAGCTAAGCATCAGTCTTAACCGTCCGCGTTAAAATAATTCCTTTTGAACAGACTAGCGAACTTCAGGTTCATTTTGATAATCACAACTCCCTATCTGCGAGTTTCCACAGATCCCCATTGACTACAGTGATTTAACACTCACGGTTACGCTTTTTTGCTCCTTGCCTCCTTAGATTTGGCTAGCTTTTGGTGTTCTGAGAGCTTAGCGGTAGCTCCATTTTATCAATGGATATACATTACGTCAGCAAATCTATAGTCCTTTTTACAAAATGTCTCTAAATCCTTCTATGTAAAATCCTGCTGCTCCCTTTTTCTACTGAGACTTCAATTTTGTTAATGGAAAGGCCGCTATGTCCTCCCTTCTATCTCCAATGACACCTGGCTTAATACAATCTACTTATAGTTATTTTCCGACGATTTTGCATTGGACCGTTGGGATTAATCACGTTGTCAGAGAGTCAGTATCTATGTCCTCTTTCTCATCAGCCAGGGGCCTTCTTTTCAGAAATCTGAAATCAGGAATGTTGTCCTGACTCAGTCTTTGCGTTTTTATTTGCGTGTTACCTGAAGATTTTCCATATGTCATAATTTTATGAAGGGACCATGATCATATCATAGCCAAGGACTTGGAAGCTAAATATAAATATTCGTTTAATCGCCAGATTTCAAGGAACTCCGTTGGAATACTGTCGGAAACCTCAATCAACACCTATAACCGTAAAAGGCTTGTGGCCGCATAACATCCCAGCAAAGAGTTTTGGATATTTTAGGGACATCGAAACTTCGTCAATTTAGGGATCATTGGGACTCTAGTCTTTAAGCCGTGTCTTTCTCTCAAGACCCACTGATGACCAGTAGATAGGCTTCTCACACTTGGGAGACTTCCACCTCCTTTTTTTTGCTCTCCACAAACTTCTTTTCCACCCTACACCTCCTATTTTTTACAAAAACCATAATTAACCATCAATAAGGTGACTGATCACATAAGAACCCCATATCGAGGATATCCTGATCGTCCTTTATGTAGAAGACATCTATTATTGTTCGTATAGAGATTCTATGTAGACCTTTTTTATAGATATTCTTAGGATCTTTTGATAAAGGGTCTCCAGATCCTTACTAATATAATAATTGCAGAGTTCGACCTTGCTCAGTATAGACCAGTTGTAATTCCCAATCCATTTTTTATGTATTTCCTAGCATCATACAACGTCCTGATCTTCAATTTGTTTTTTTTTTCTCTCATTTCTTACCTCTCCAATACCGTAGGTTTTTGTCCATTATCAGAAAAGTCCTCCCACGGTTCCATAGAATCCTGCCTAGCATGGTTACCTATAAAATGAAAGAAAAACATATAATATATAGTCGTGGAAATCGTGTTATCCGGCACACTTACCATTCTCCTGATAATATTTAGAATTATGTGTCCATCTAAAACCAGTGCACAGACCAAAATCGGTTAATTTAATATGGCCATCCCTATCGATTAGTATATTGTCAGGTTTTATGTCCCTAAAAAGATAAAAATAAAAAAAAATTAATAAATAACTAAAAAAGCAATGCGACTCGGTTTACCCACCTATGAATAAAGCCCATCTTATGTACACTCTCAACGGCACACGTAAGCTCGGCTATGTAGAAACGGGCCAAAGGTTCTTCAAATATGCCCTTTTTAATTAAGAGCGACATCAAATCACCACCTATGAAAAATAACACGCAATTGAAATCTTCGGCATATTCACTTTCAAAAATCCTTCCTTACCCGGTATATAATCCATCACAAAATATAAATTATCCTTATCCTGAAAACTATAGTAGAGTTTCACGACCCAATTATTGTCCGCCTCAGCCAAAATATCACGTTCTGCTTTCACATGGGCCACCTGGTTGCGTTTCAAAACGTCAGCTTTGCGCAACGTTTTCATGGCATACAAATGATTGGTGGTATCGATCTTACGCACCAGGGTAACCTCACCGAAAGCACCCACACCAATGGGTTTGATCTTGACAAACATACTCTTGTCCATTTTTGCTCGCTTCAGACGTATGTAGTTGCTTTCCTTTTGATTGAGCATTTTACGCATCTCCACCTGGGTCTGAGTTGATAGACCGATTTTAAGCATTTCCTTTTCCAGCTGATTCTTGCGGAACGTTCGCTGCTTATAGGATTTGAGCACATTCTCTATGTGCTGTTCCATATAGAATTTGAAAGCCTGTGGTGAGTATTGACGTATGCGACATTCTTTGCGTTCTTCTTCTTTTTCTTTGGAAACTTTCTTGCGTTCAGGTATGGGTGAGGCATGTTTGATCTTTTTCACATTTTCGGGTGGACTTGATTTGCCACCAGCACATGAAGCGGTGGCACCACCTCCCGATGAGGATGATGCCACCGATTCTCCACCACTGCCGGAATTATTTTGGCTGGGTTTGCTGGGCGGTATGGGGGGTGTTGTGGCTAGATTACTATTCGTAATGGGTGAAAGAAGGTTATTGTTATTTGTTGATGGCCCGCCATTGCTCGCCGCCCCACCCCCACCACCACCACTGCCACCATTCGTTGAGGATCGCGTATCCATGATATTGTTGTTATTGCTGTTGACATCATGTGGCGAAGACGATGGCAAGGGATGTGGAGGTGGTGGTGCCGTTACTACTGATCGTGTACTCTGATAGGGTGGTGGTGGCGGCAGTTGGCGACCCCCGCCCACAACAGGCACCACAGCTGGTGGCTTCTGTTGTTGTTGGGCTGCTATCGCCGCTGTTGCCCTCAGCTGAGCTTGAATTTGTTGTTGTTGCTGAAGCACAGCAGCGGCTGCAACCTGTTGATGATGCTGTTGCTGCTGCTGTTGGTGATGCTGGGCAGCCTTGGCTTGCATACTTTTGGCATACGAAGGCGGTTCGGCACACGGCGACTTGGTCATTACGGTGCCGTTCAGCGCATTGGCAATTAGGGGAGGAGTTGTTGGTGTTGGCGGTGTTGATTTACTAACTACAGGATGGGTCGTTGGTACCCCACCGGCCAGTAACGGTGATTGTTGCTGCTGTTGTTGTTGTTGTTGTTGAACCACAGCGGGGCTCTTTTGCGGATATGATGGCGGTGCTGGAAGTATATGGACTGGAGAATTACAGGCCGATGCTGTGACAGGAGACTGTGGTGCTACAGCTGTTTGCAGGACAGGCTTCTGCACTTGCGTTGACTTGACACTTTGCATAATGATGGGCTGCTGGGTTCGGGTTGGATAGACACGTGGCTGTGGCCGAGCCACTGATGATGATGGCTGCAATGGTGGTGGTGGAAGAATTGCACTGTTTGTTACCGTTATGGGGCTTGGCGATCCAGCTGAGGTTGCCGAATAAATACCACTGCTCGGCGATTTGCGATAATCCGACTGAGACTGTGTAGGAGATTGCCGGGATTGTATTGATGCATTGTAACTGGGCGGTGGAGCTGATGTAGGAACAACCACCCCCGTTGTTAGGGGATAGGGCGGTGGTGGTTCTACAGCATTGCCACCACCCGCCTGGTACAGACTCAGTGCCTTCATTTGTTGCGACAACTGTTGCTGGGCCTTAATACCATTCTGCGGTATAACCGGCGATGTGCCACGCGTCGGATTCGGTGTTATGGCTGCAGGACGGGTTGTCGCCGGTGAACGACGTTTATAGATCTGGTTTGATGGTGGCGGCGGAGGTGGTGTGGCCGAGCTGCCACTGGTTGGATTTCGAGGTGGTGGTGCGGGCGGTGCAACATCGCTGAAATTTGATGGTGATGGTGAATATTGGCCAGTACTAGCACGACTGGCACACGTTACTTGCTGATGTGAATGTGGACTATCGGAACGTGAACTGCCCGCTCCGGAATCGAGGGCGGGACTGCAACGCAGATAGTTAATGGAAAGATCTCGTTCAATACTCGATTTGCGTATGAGTTTTGGCGGTACAATGGACGGTGGCATTACTTTGGGCACATGTCCATTGAGTTGTGCTGTAGCTGATTGTAGTTGGGCAGGTGAGGGTGTGGCCGATGGAGGTGGCTCCATCGGCGGTTTAACGTGATGGTATTCGGGTGCATCGGATCGACCGTTGGCAGCTGAATATCGCAAGTGACCAAAATTCTGGGCGGGGAGAAGGAAAAAGTAAATTTGTTGAGATTTGAGTGAAAATACTTTGGTAAAAGATCTTCCGTATAAAAATAGAGAAAATATTTTAGAGGAACTTTACAGAATGAAAAGCTTGTGTAGATCTTCTACAAAGATAAAACCTTAAATAAGTTGTCTCGCATATATCTCAAACAATAAAAGGTCTATCAAATGAGTGCTGTAAATATTGAAGCTCATCTGTGGTCCTCTATAGATAGAGGGAGATAGAGAGATAGAGGGATAAATATGCAAAGTGTTGCAGGGTATCATAAATTCGGCCTCGTCCGACTTTAAGACTTTCTTTACTGATTCTGATTGACTTACGATTTCCGGCCTCTAAATGCCGGAGTTTGCAATTGGTAGGCCTATTAATAAAAGGCTTATAAATTCTTAGGCCTAGTTCTTTAAAGATGGGAAATATTTGTTTGAATAATAGATTTCCTAATAGTAAGATCTGTCATTATATATCCAGAAGACCTTCTTTTGGAAGACCTTCGCTTGTAAAAAAAAACTGCACACAATATGCCTCCAAAAGCGAAGAACTTCCGCGAACAAAGGCCCTTTAACAGATATCCTAAAAACTGAATACTTTTGGAAGGAAGAAGACATTTGATTAAAAAATCCCCGTACTATAGGATTCAAAGTCTGCGGCTTCATATGAAAATTGCACACATTATATCTTCAAAATGGAGAATATGCAATGTAGTAAGAAAGACCTCTACATTAAAGAATAAAAACCTTGGAAAAGAAACATTTTAACATGCAAAATTTAGGACAATTAATTTATAAATTAATTCCCCACAGCATGTAAAAAAAAATTCACATCCTCTGGCATTCTCCTCTCTCAAAAATGAATTGGCATCCTATCGACAATGAAAATTGCACACACACACGCAATAGTTTTTTTTTCTTATTTCATTTCTATTATAAATTCCATTGAGTGTTGATGGATAATATTCATATCATCCACAACATCATTGTTGCCATTATATTGAACGTAATGGGGGTCGGCGGTTGCCCATTCCCACCACTACACCTGTTCTCGTTGTGATTCCAAATATAATTTCCTAAGAAAAAAAAAAAAAAGAATGGTAATAAATTATTTTACTTGCTTTCATTAGGTGTGAATATCAGCAGCGGTGGCAGTGGCATGCAATGGCCACTATTCGAAAAATTTGCTGATTTCCCATTTCTCTTCAATTGTTGACCACTTTAGAAATAGTGTCATTAATTCGCTACATTTAAAACCGCCAAAGCCAATTAACATGCCATTTTTATTGTGTCAATCAATTTTTAGTGATTAATCTACTACGATGTAGAACAATGTCAATGGATTATTGGGTGAATTGGTATTAGGGGGGCTGGCTAAAAGGGCGATTACATTTGAACACTTTTTTATGGCAAAAGGCATATTTGATTTGTTGGGGAATCTTGTTGGAAAACACACAAGATTATTGTTCGGACTCCCCCAAAAAGGGCTAAGGATTGCTAAGAGCCTTGAAAACTGTTCTTGGCGGAATATGTAATAAATACACAACACAGCAAGCAATTTTCAAAAATGTTTTGACATCAGATCAGAATTGCATATTTACAGAGAAAGAATTCTCAGACTCAGACACCACATAAAAGCATTTTTTGATCAATCGTTTCTTGAAGACTCCCAGTATTACTTTTAAAATAAAAAAAAAAAACAGTAACGTCATAAAGTCTGGCGGGGCCGACTTTATGATACCCTACACCACTTTGCTAATTTAGTAGAGCTCCACATAACAATTAAAAGTTTTTATGGGAGAATTCAATCATACACGCTATGATTATAATTTAAAGTTCAAAGGACTAAATATGTCGAAGCATTTGTATATTTTAAATTCGGACTTCTATTGCACATTTGGTGCACAATTAATTTGAAATCGGATAAAGATATATATGAGAGCTATATCCAAATCGGAATCGGATCTCGATGAAATTTGGCAAAGATATTTCTGAGCTGTATTTGATATATTTCCCTGAATATCGTTGTTACGGAGGGCATATTACGGCTGTGGGTAACAAATATAATAAATCGGATGAACAATATATAAGGGAGCTATAGCTATATCTGAACCGATCTTCACCGAATTTGACATACTAGCTTCCAGACTCAATTCAAGTCGTAAGTGCCAAATTCCATCCAATTTGGACAAATATTAGTCGTTTGGTGCACAATATAGGGTAAATCGGACGAAGTTATATATGGGAGCTATATCCAAATCGGAATCGGATCTCGATAAAATTTGGCAAAGATATTTCTGAGCTGTATTTGATATATTTCCCCGAATATCGTTGTTACGGAGTGCATATTACGGCTGTGGGTAACAAATATAACAAATCGGATGAACAGTATATATCTGAACCGATCTTCACCAAATTTGACATGCTAGCTTCTAGACTCAATTCGGTCATAAGTGCCAAATTTCATCCAATTTAGGCAAATATTAGACCTTTGGTGCACAATAAAAGGCAAGTCGGACGAAGTTATATATGGGAGCTATATCCAAATCTGAACCGATCTCGATAAAATTTGGCACATGTATTTCTGGGCTGTATTTGATATATTTCCCCAAATGTTGTTGTTACAGAGTGCAGCATATTACGGCTGCGGAGGACAAACATAACAAATCGGATGAACAATATATATGGGAGCTATAGCTATATCTGAACCGATTTCGATCAAATTTGGCATACTTATTTTCAGGCCTAATTTGGTTGTATGTGCAAAATTCCATACTATTCGGAATGATATTACACGTTTGGTGCACAATAAAAGGCAAATCGGACGAAGATATATATGGGAGCTATATCTAAATTTTGACCGATTATCTCCAATTTCAATAGGGTTCGTCCTTGGGCCAAACAAATGATTTGTGCAAAATTCCATCTGGATAGGGCAATAAATGCGAACTGTACTTTGTTTACAAAAATACATGGACAGACGGACGGACGGACGGACATGCATAAATCGACTCAGAATGTGATTCTATGCAGATCATCAAAAGGAACTATGGGTCTATCTCGTTTCCTTTTGCCTGTTACAAACAAATGCACAAAGACATAATACCCTGACCACCTTGTGGTGTAGGGTATAAAAATATACATTTTTTTTCAACAGACAATCTCCACTAGAAAATAGATTAAATCCGCCTAAATAATCGGTGTAATTTAATCTAAAAAAATAAAAACTTTTAATCAATTTGTATTATATGCATAATTACATATATTTACCTGTACTCCATTATCCTTTTGAACTTGAAATCTTGTCAAGTCCTGTTTTATCGTTTCGAGTGCTTCAGCCGTATATTTATTTTTGGGGCGACCACTTTTTCCGCCCGCTTGATGCATTCTTGCAATATTTAGCACTCATATCACAATCAATGAATTTTGTTGTAAAAGATACGTTTCTTTTGTTATTATTGCTGTTGCTGCTGTTGTTGCTCGTGTGGTTGTAGAGGCGCGTAGGTTGCACTCCAAGCTTGATTGGTAATTATTTTCAAGGTATTTCTTTTATTTACATATTTTGTTGTTGTTTTCTTTTCTTTTCTTAACAAGTATGCAAATTGGGGTGGAAACCATAGGCACTTGGTGTATAAATATTTGTGTAGAAATGTCGCTGAATTTAACGTTGTTGTTGCTGTTGTAGTTTTTTCATGCTATTCATTATTTGGTCATCATATTGCACTATGATCTAGAACAGAGAGTGGAGGTAAGATTTAAAAAGGGTTGCAATTTTGAAAAAGAAAAAATATTATTAATAACAATTAAATAAATATTTTGAACAACAAGTGCCAAAAACTATCCTTATATCCTTAAGAGATAAAACTTAAACACCAACGTTAAAGATACTTTTGCTGCATGCCCAGACGATAAAACACATGCTTTTTTTTAAATAAAATCTGAAAAATAATCTGTTGAATTTATTCAAATCAAGATTTCATGAATTTTTCTGAATAAAAACTTATTAAAAAATCTAATATCTAAAATACAATCATAAGTTCAGGCGATGTCGAGACTACACTTTTTTAGGGAGAAAAAGTCCTGATTATGTCGACTTCAAGCCTCCATGAAAGTGGGAAAAGAAATATGAAATAATCACAACACCTTTTGGCAAAACTCTAACTTCAAAAATTCTCTTCTTATCGCGAATCATTATAAGGCGGCAGCTCTTAAATGTAGTTGGACTGAAACCACACAGGTTTATATAGGCAGCCGCAATATACGTGTGATATAAAAAAACGGCAACAAAATCAAACAACATAATTTTATTTTATTTATTTATATATTTTTTATTTTTAAATTTTATTGAATGGCGCCAAATAATGTCGAAAATAACATCAAATTTTAGAGTAAGTTTAGATTTATGCGAATCGGTCAACTTTGGCACGAATTATGGCCTTCAAACGGGCAAAGAAACCGTTACACGCTGCCCGAATGTTGCTCTTCGGTATTATGGCACATTCCCGGCGAAGCGCTTGCTTGAGATGATCGACACTTTGGTATTTTTTAGTGCCAACCTTGCTTTCCAAAATACTCCAGACATAATAGTCCAACGGATTGGTATCCGGAGATTTTGGTGTGAGGAACCTCATTTCGTAACCATTCTTGGGTGGCGCGTGTTGAGTGCGATGGTGCTGAGTCCTGTTGGAGTGTCCAATGTTTGCGGGCCCAAGGCTCTAATACACCCTCCAGAATATTTTCACGACCATCGGCTGTTATGGCGGCCCACACCCTCACCATGGCCGGCGCTTGAGTTTTGGTGGCCAACCGAATGTGTGCACCTTTTTCAGCTGACCTCTTTGGCAAGTAAACACGATCATTTTATTTGTTTACAAACTGCTGGACAACGATTGTTTCCTCATCGGAGAAACCCAATTTTGGCAGTTCATCACTTTCGGCCAAGCGAAGCAACCCTTTAGCTCTTTTAAGTCTATTTTCTTACTGTTGCGAGGTAAGTTCTTGCACTTGCACACTAACACGCTTGAATTCTGGAAAATTATGGAAAGTCTGGAAAATTCTCACCAAAATGCTTTTGTACGCTTGTAAACAAATAATGAGCTGTCACTGGAATAATTTTAACAGCTGTCGGACGAGTGGCAGCAGTCTGAAGTTGGTTGCTGTTTTTTATCTCACCCTGTATAGGGATGGACTCCGAGAACGTCATTTATACTAAATTGCATTGTGACATGGCATTATAAGGTGGATGAACTATAGCTATTTTATTTCCAAACCACCAACCCTAGATAAAGTTGATCCTTTCACCATTTAATAGTTTTTTTCAGAGAATCCTCATCTCCTCATATAGATGGATCAATGGTATCACAAGAGCACGGACTTCTATACATAGAAGCTTATTCAATGAATTTTTTTTAGGAAAAATGTACCATGTGGACAGCAGTTTTGGGATTTCTATTGGCCAAAGTTTTCAATCGGACGATAGACTCCTAGACTCTTAGTTTTTTTTTTTCAACGGATCTTTATCCACTCATTTAGAAGGGCCAATGGTATAACAAGAAGCAGGCGTTTTTAAAACCACTCAGTCTTGTCTAGTTTATAAGTTTGATTCTCTAGGTCTATTTTATTTTAGACCTCCCTCATTTCCCAGATAATATCAATTCTTTCTGCTATGTCTGGGCATCAATCTTTATTTCGTCATGTAGATGGTGCACTGATGCCAATGCTTTTACATTGTGCGTCTAGAAGGCTTGGTTTTCATCTATCTCGATCAGCGCTGGACAATTAGCATTCAATTTTTTAATAGGTCAAGTGCCATCAAAATTATACTGTTGCAAGGTCGGTTCTCATTATGTCATCGATAATTTTTTTGGGAATATAGCAAGACGCTCTAAGCGAAAGTGATCTTTCGCTTCGGCGTCTAGTTCCCGAATTGCCGATAGATGTTCCTTCTGCCCTTTTCTAGATTTCTGGAGCGACGTTGCAATACTTAAGATGGTCTAGCCATATTCTTCGCTTCAATCGACCTGTTAAACTCAAATATCAGATACCTGAAACAGTATCGTTGGAATTACGAGGCTCGTGACGATCGTATATTGGTCCCCCTGCCTCTACTGGCACAATTGGTCTTATTTAAGATACTCGACCATCAAGTATAAGGCTGCAGAAAATCTGCTACTTAAATATGATTTGACTTCCACAGTCCTCTGATGAAACCTACCGCTTAAATGAAAAGGAAAGTGCAATGTTCAGAGCTCTTGCCCTGCCACCTATGATATCCCTGCTTGTTAAATAGAACGAAATGCCACAACTCGTGTCGGAATTCAAAATACTTAGTGTCATCCGGCTATTGCCTCGCAAACCAGGCTAATGTCTGAAAAATATTTCGTAAAGAGGTGTAGGTCTTTATTGGCCAGAATTGGGTAATAGGACCTTTAATGGTACATCAATTTTTTCTGCAACTGTAACATTACTGTGGAAATGGTGCAATTTTAGTTGCTGCTTCGGAAGCTACGATGGACTATAATCTCACGTTCACGTTGAGGCTGGAGACAAACATTTCTAAGGCTTATCAATTTTCTGCGTATTTCGTAGAATTTAATGTCAGCAGTTTGCTCTGGAAAAAACGGACTTTCTTTCGTTTACTTTAATGTCAGACTCTCGGCCAAAATTTTGGAATTTTGCTGCAGCTAAAAAGGCCACTCTGAGAAGGGTTGATTATTATTAAGAAGATCTGAAAGCAATAAGGTCATGTTCCACCGACATAGCCTGAAATGCAAAATATGTAAATATCTAAAATTTCGTATCGAGCTCGGTCGCCTGACTGCACCACTGTTATGTACCACCATAAACTCGAAATATGTGGCACAGTTATGTTAGGTTTTAGATGACTCGAAGAAAGAAAAATTGTTGTAAGAAAAAAGAAGCAAAGCTAGATCTGCCAGAAGAAGAAGAAACTTCGAAAACGGTTGTAGTGTATCTAAGACCATTTGAGATGAAGAACAAGCTCCCTTTGTATTACTTAGTTGTGGGCTATGTGAAGACGAAGAAGAGATAGAGACTATTGAACAGCCACTACGCAGGTGTCCCATGTTATCTATCAAAAGACATCGCATATTAGACAGTTGGAACTCCAACGTTCTTTTCAAACAATGGTTCCATAAACATCTACAAGATAGCCAAAAACATTCTCTGGCTAAGAAGACCCCCTGCTAACTGCACTCTCTATCTCTCTCTATGAACCCTTCCTTCTCCTTTTTCTATCTCACTTCTATCACAAACTGTATTTCATCTAGAATGAACTCAATTGACTAAAGGTCTCCGAATGAAGCAGTTGCCGACTCCAGGACAGCTGCCAGATATTATTTCAGAGCAGTAACTTAACACATTCCTGGCTCGCTTATTGTGGTAGAGCTCACTTCCCATTGTATAATATTTCCTGTGATATTTCCTTTCAATTCTTTGCTTAGTTCAGGACTTAGAATCCTGGCAATTTGCTAGTGATCTCCCAAAGTGCATTAGATCTCAACATCCAAATAGGGAAGGCAAACGAATATCTATCATGCAGGTGTTCTGTGCCGATAGCAGTCAACAAATCTTTATGGGATATTTTTCTATAACTTTGCCAATCGAGCCAAGGACCTTATTTTTTGATCTTACTTCCTTTTTTAATACCCTGTCCTAGGTATCTAGTAATAGCAAAATGGACCATAGATCTCCGAAAGGAGGCTGTCGTTCGTGATCCTGCCGATATTGCATCCTTAAATTAAGTCAAAAATATACCAAAAAATGGTGATTTGATTTATGTAAGACTCTCAGAACAGTCGACATTCATAGCGACTCCTTCAGAGAACATTTGAAATTACTCATTGATCTTCGTATAACATTTACGCCAAGAAGATTTTCTCATATTCTCCTTTTGCAGAAACCATTGTGACAATCTCAAAACATTGGAACGCATATTATAAATCGTTCGGGCCTGTGTGTTTGCTACTTTGAGGAGAGATAGATATATTGTTGTAATATCATTCCTTAGTTGTTTCGGTTGCAATGCGATTTACAGCATTATAACAACCATACGAACATACCCACCATCGTCGTCGTCGTCATCATCATCATCATATATCTCTAACAAAGTATGTATGGTGGTGGTGATGGTGGTCGGACGGTTTGGTCGGTCGGTTGGTCGCTAGATAGCCGCCAGCCTAGTCGGTTTGGTCGGTCAATCGATCCATTGCTTTTGTGTACGAATCATAGTAGTAGTAATCGTTGTTGTGTTGTATTGTGTGTGCCTTCTTGTCGCCTTCGCCACTCGCCCGTACGGCTTGTATATACCTCTTCGTCGGATTGCATGCTGGAATGTGAATGGAATTCCAAATATTTCATCGTTTTACAGCAAAGCGGCGATCATACAAAACAACGAAACACAAACAACAGCAACAACATGTTTCTCCTTTTCTTAAAAAATATACGAGAGGAGTATAGCAGATATAGGTTCATATAACCAATCGAAGATACATGTTCCAACATCTAAAAAGGTACATATGGACAACAGTATGTGTCCTCCAAACACACACATGGCTGCCACAGCTGCTGAGTCGGCTTTGGATGATGATGATAATGATGACGACGATGTTAATGGCTGAATGCAACACATTTCCACATAGCCTGATAAATGGCACATATAAAATTATACCTACTCTCCTTACTACTATGTTACACTTGTCGACAGTGACTCAGAATATTTGGTGGAATTATGGGAGGAAGGAAAAACAAAGCTTTTGGAAATGATCTGTGAATTATAAAGGATGGATAATTGAATATTGGAAGAATTTCTTGAATTTTAAGCATTGCATACCTACATCCGTCTTTAAGGTCGTCTCCAAACACATCCTTAAGGACCTGTATTTGGAATTACCGTATATTATATAGACATCGTTAAAACGCATATCTCGAAGTCTCTTTGGACTTCCTTAAGTTCGTCTCTATAGGCCAATTACAGCGCTGGCAGAGTGAGTCGAGTTATCCAGTGTGGAAATGGTTTATAAGGAGGATAAATAAATATAACCATTGATTTATAATATTAATCTCCATTAACCTCCACTTTATAACATCGAAAAGCTAATTGACCGAACATTCGGTTACCCAAAATGATTTTTTCGAGACAACAGATGAAGGAACATAAGCGTTGCAACATTAGAAGCCTTATGTATATAAAAAGGATTATAGGTCAGGTTAGACTGCCCAACTATAAATTTTGCGTAGATGTGAGTTCGTTATTTCAACCACCCAATCGTTTATCTTCCCGATAGTGACTACTTCAGAACAGCGGTACCATGAAACAATGCTTTGGATTCGCATTTGGAATTATATGTGTAAAGTCTGGTGGTACAAAAATTCCATGAGGGGCCAAAGGCCCTCAAAGTAAAATAAGGAACTGTTCAATTTGAATTTGTAAGTCGGCAGAGAGTATATGTAGCAGGGTAGAATACCTAGCCAGGGATTGCTGTTAGCAAACATACAGATGGTGATGGGATCTCTGTCTGAGAAGAACATTCGAGTTTCAATCTCCAACCTACCAAATAGTCTATGTCTCCTGTTTAATTACATGGGACGAAATCTGCATATTAGGTGTTCAATCGTCTCCAATTCTTCTTCATCTTTACATAGCCTACAATAGTCAGGAACGCTATTATTCCATTTAGAGGTCAAACATCTGACCAGTCAGATCATCTTAGATCAGTGAAAGAAGACAACTTGTCCTTCTTCTAGATATTTCCTGCTAGATATCTTTAGATAGCTAGCAACCGGTTCCCAAGTGCCATCATCTGCCAGCTTCTTGAACGAGAACGAGACTTTTTTAAGCAGCTGACTAATAACTTATCAATGGTTTGACAGTTAGATCAATCCACTGGAAACCATCTCGAGCTAATTCATCATCCACATCATTCTATGTTCTGGAACCCAAAAAAAGCTTAATGAGTTCACGTATTTCAAGGAGGTCTTTTTCACAGTCAAGAATAGCTTCCGATTAAATGGTGCTTGATAGCTTTAAGGTCCTAGACGACACACACAGCTTCGAAAATTGCATAGCAGGACCAATACTGCTATGCAATTTTCGAAGCCGTGTGTGTCCCTTAGTTGACCGCATCTTTTTCACAGGCACCAGCTGATTGCGGGAATTGGTTGTTGTGGCAATTTGTTTTTTTCTGATTCTTTTCAAACTGAGTCTGCCACTAATGTAGAAGAAGCAAATTCCATAACTATTCCGATGTTAGATGAGTATGTTTGGCTGAGCAGTAAAATAGACATACTTGATCGCCTTTGAGGCTGCTCCCTTCGGCGAGGTCGACAACTCAGCACACGAAACGCTCTTGCTTCCGCTCACTGTTGCCTTATTTGTGGTTCAATCTAGGCCATCTTAATTTTCCGTTATAAAAAGTTCTTCTTATCGAAAGTTCTCTAAATGTTGAGTTAGGATATATCCTCTCGAACATCCAGGTTCGTTTTGATGAGCTGAAACTCCTTTTTAGTCTGTTTCAATGGATCTACCCCGACATAGCAGATTTTGGCTTAACTCAAGTTTAGAAAAAACGCTTCAATTTCTTCGAATTTTTTTCCAGTGGTAGGTATTTTTACCCTAAATCCGGGAAACTATTTTTTTCTAAGGAGACGGATCCGGGACCCCAAATTTTTGACCCTAAATTCCGGGTATAAGTCTCGCACGAGACCCGAATCCACTTACCCGATATAGGCAATCTTGGTAAAAATACCTACCTCTGGAAAAAATTTCGAAAAAATCGAAGAGTTTTTACTATACTAGAGTTGTTTCCAGATTTTTCACATAATTGCGTTCAAAGTAGTACAGCCTCCTCAATTTGTCTGTTCGAGCATTGATGACAATGTTCAGAACTCATGCATTGCAGAATATAGTTTCATCCCGTATAACTTCCCAATTCCACAAAAATATACCTAACTATTAAAGCAAAAAATTAATCATTTTCTTCACAAAATATTTCCGTTTTGTAATCACTGTGTTATTTCAAATATTTGTATGACTTGCATACTCTAAATATCCCATAATCGTCATCATATCTCGCCTTCAATTCGATACAATTCGCATTTCATTCCTTCTTTTGTTGCTCTGTTGCTGCTATGGCTGCTGCCGTTGTTGCGTCTCTTGCTGCACTTGTTCCATCGTCGTTGTGTTGTGTTGTGTTCAGCTGTGTGTTCTCGCTGCTAGTGATAATTACATATTTTCATCATTTTCCAATTCCATTCACACACAATCGCGCACACAGACACACACTCATGCATACATACATACATATTATACTCTTGTTTTCAATATTTTTTCAGATCTACAACTCGGTGTAAATCGTGTGTATATTTGTTGCTCTTTTTTTGTTCTCATGTTCTCGTCGGTAGTCTACTGCTGCGGTGTAGTGATTGGCATGAAACTTTTTTTGTACATGAAAAAGGCACGAATTATTTGGACGCAACAAGAACAAGAAAAAATAATAAAAATTCTTTTCTTTTGAGTAGTGTGGACCGTGGAACCCAAAAAAAACACAAAGTCAATTTTGACGATGAAGAGCGAACGTGAGGCCGCCGTTGCATGCGAGCGCCAGCCGAAATATTAATAGTTAAAAATAAACAATTTCTGTTATTAATTTCTTATTGGATTTTATAACTTTCAGAAAATTTAACCAAAACAATCACATTCAATTGAATTTTTGTGTTTTTTTCACACTATATTTTTTTATTTCTTTAAAACTATATATTTCTTGACTTTCATAGTCCTTTAAATATTCTAATTTGATTTCATTAAAAGAATCCACTTAAAAAAGCGGCCTCCATCATATCAAATAATAACAATGTCGCACCAAATAAAACAGATCTCAATTATGACGCCGCCTTTAACTTATTGTTGCGTCTTTGTTCTTTGCTTGGTATGTGTGCGTGTGTTTGTGTTTATGTGATCGATGGATGAAACTGAACATCGAGGGGGAGGAGGGACAGAACAAAACAGAACAGAAATTCATTTTGTAAACGAATGACGGCAACGTCGGCAACAGCGACGACGACGACGACGCAGCACAACAAAAAAGACAACGCAACGACTGCAACAATTCTTCTATTCATTATTTATACATTCGTTTCTTTTTTGTTATACTTTTCACCACATAAAACAAAAAAAAGAACAACACAACAATACAAATTTTCACGCAAAATAGAAATGCGATTCACACAAACTTATTTTCCGATCACAAATGATGGAATGGAATTAAAAACAGAGGGTGAGAAGGATTTTTTTTTCATTTCTTTCTCATTGAATCAATTTGGCACTTGTTGAACTATGTTATCTACATACATACTGTGTATGCATATATTTACTTCTCTATTACTTGTTGCGCTTTTAATCTAACTCTCTTACTTCTTTATTTACTTTCTTGGCTAGATTTTCTTCTAGTCGTTACATTATTACACTGCACTTCTTCTTGTTCTATGCAACACACATAATTTATTTTTATATTTTTTCTATATCGTGGTTGGTATTTTTTCTCCTTTTTTCTTGTGTTTATTATGTCAATTTACTTCGAGTGAATTTTTTTCTTTTGGCGAGATTATCATCTACTCGTTACTTTGGTCGCGAGAGTAGCGAATGATCTTTAATTTCTTATTGCCTTGTGAACTCGTTACTTTTGGGCATGGAAGTCTTTTTTTAGGGGAATAATAATCACAAATTTCCACACCAAATTCTTTCATATCACTTTAGTTTTCACAATTTCCACATTCTTTACACTTTAATGTTTAGTTATTTCACAATTTTCTATAAATTAGGCGCTATTAAAAGGGTTAAATTAACAAAAAATGTGCCGAAATTTTGTTTCTGTTCGATTTTAATAAGTCGTGCGCAGAGAACCGAGCCATACTGATGGGTAATGTCAACGGCGGCAGTGACCAGAACAATTTACACGGCGTCTATGGTTGGCGGCGTATTCTTTCCATACGTTCACAAATAATACATAAAAATATGTAATTAATAAGAAAACAACGGAAAATAAAATAATAAATAAGAAAATTAAATAGAATATTGTTGATTTTACGTATTATTAAAAACTTTGTATTCAATGGTATGATTAAATTAATAATAAATGTAATTCAAAGAAATAAAAATAAAATGCTAAAGTCTGGTTTACATCGACATCCAAATTACACCTTTTACGACTAATTTCCAAACTAAATGATGCATTTAATGAAGACAGGTTCGGTGCCAATGAGGCTTTAATTTCAAACTACAAAATTGTCATTTATTTGTCGTATAAAAACTAAATTGACAATCTGATTAACGCGTTTTATGAAAGCATGATCAATGTAAATGAAGCTATAGACCAGTATGCATTAAAAGTTCTCCCGAATGGAGACAATTTATATAAAAGAGACATTTTTTTTAAATTCACTATTTAAAACATGCTATCATACACTCTGCTACAGAACCTGCAAGAATCTAATATTATTGAAATTTTTTTCGATATCATAAAGCGAAAATCGGTTATCGTAGTAAAAATTTTTACATTCTTGATGTTCTGGAACAGACAAATAATAATTGCAAACATTTTTTATAATATTTTGGTGAAGACTTTACAAACTGAAAGACAGCAATTTTTAAAAATGAAGACTTAATGATGAATTTATTGAGCTTATAAATGCACATACAGCCCAATCAGAAGCTAAATTTTTTAAATTAAAATTTTCTAACGTTTTTATTACTTTTCGTGTAAGAGAAACGACTTCAGTATAAACGTAACTATACTATATTAAATTTGTGATAGTAGTCATAGTACAATAAAGAGATAAGGTAGCTACGTTAAATACTGAAATACGGACCTGAGTCTATAGTCGCTTCCGGTCAATATTAGACGCAACAAGTTGTTCTAATTTACATTTACCAACTAAAGTAGAAAGAGAAATATTAAAGAAAATCCTACATTATATCTAAAAATATAATTCTAACTGTTCAACATTTCAATTCCATGTCAAAACTTGTAATATCTTTAATGTGAGACAGGCAATGTACACTTCCTCCATGGCAGTGGTCATCCCTGCTTAAAAAAAGAAAAATGAAATGCCGACCTTTAGATACTTATTAATTTATTATTAGCATTACACAGTTATTTGTTGCTCTAGTATGTAATTTAATTTTTCGTGCGTGGAATTAATTATAACCTATTTAAAATAATGTTCCGTAACTCCACTTTAACCCAAAAATTATTATATTCAATTTGCAAAATGGAGCGCACAATATAAATGTTAAATGGCAAAAATGTAGACCCGACTGTAAATGATGTGTGTGACAGGTCGTAAATCGATTTGGTGATCCCTAATTTATTTACATTCGCTCGCCAAAGTGGGGTTAGTTGGGCCAGTTGTTTTCGGGTTAAACATTTCCTTCGTAAGTTATAAATTAAAAACTAATAAAAATGGGCAAAGTAATGTCTGTAGTATCACGACAAATAAATCGCTTTAATGTGGAGAATCGGGCACACCGTGTACTCGAAAGGGACAAGCCTGTTCCGGCACCCAAATACGAATCAAATATAAGGGATATGGAACGGACAATGGAGTGTAAGCTATTTTAGGCTTTTTTTCCAATCTGATTGGAGCATATGTCTAAGATTTTGTTGTAAATTTAATATTCTTCTTTTTCTAGTGGATCCCAAATTCTTGGACAAACTGAATAAGAAGGACGAGGCTTTGGATCAACGTTTGAAAAGTGTTTATGTAACATCAGAGGATAAATTTGTGAGTAAACATGATGAAATGTTCAATGAATTGTTGTTTTCAATAATATATATCCTTTCTACAGATAGACTATGGTATAAAACGTAAGGAAACAGATGAAAAAGCATTGCCAATGGATCGTCGAACCCCCGAAGATTTTGAATTTGGTTATAAGGAACCCCATAGAGTAGCACCTGGACGTTGTACATTGAGGCAGGCCCTGCAATTTATAACCGATCATCAGACAGAGCCTGAGAAATGGACGGTAGCAAAAATTTCCGAAGAATATAAATTGAAACCAGAATTAACAGGTAAGTTATAAACGATTGATCAACAATGTCTTGATATTTATAATCTAAGTTTTTTTTTACAGAAAATATTCTCAAATACTTTAGAAGTTACAGTATCTATATACCCGACATAAAGCAAAAGGAGTCTATATTAACGCAAACCAAACGAAAGATGTTGCCCGACAGTACAGACAAACCCAAAGCAGAAGAATAATGCATCAACAAATTAGCAGCAATTTATTTCGTTTGGCTGATTATTTTCGAAGTGCATGAAATGCATGACTTAAGATTATTAACTAGAACAATTGTGAGATGCCTATTTGGATTCATATTTTTTGTAAATACCGTAAAGAGTGAATGAAGTGAAAGAAATATACGATTTAAGGATACAAAATCACACACAATTCCTTCGTTTTTTTTTTTTTTTTTTTGTAAATTTTATTTTTTTGTCATGTTGCGCCGATTTTTTATACAACAACATTTGGTGGACAATTATAAAGATTAAGAGATTTATCTTCAGATACTGAAACAACTTTATCATTTGATGCACTGTACTTAACGCCCCATGCCTGATCACTGTGCTCCGAAAAGGTATGCATACATTTCCGTTCGGCAAAGTCCCATATTTTAACTGTAGTATCGCTTGACGATGAGGCGAAACGTTTGCCATCTTCGGAAAATGAGACACACAATACCCATGACGCATGTCCCGAAAGTGTACCGGCCACATCAGAATGGGCACTAAAGAAAGGAGAAATAGCAATTAGAAAATGAAGTCAATATTGGAAATTTAAATTGTTTGCGGTTTACTTACACATCATACAACTTCATATGACCATCATCAGATGCGGTTAGTAACATTTGCGAGTTGGGGGAGAAACATAAACTGCGTACAGGCATGGCATGACCTTCCAATGTTTGTGTTACTTTGCCAGCTGCCACATCGAAGATGGTAATAATACCATCAATAGCACCGCTCGCAATATATTTACCATCTGGACTCTACAAAGAATGCAATATTATTTATATGCCCATTTCCATGTATGTATAATGGCTGGGTTTTCCATGACGATATGAAAGTGAAATCGAAAGAAAAATCCTGATGTTTTTTTTTTTCAAAATGTTGATTCTTATAAAAAACTATTGGAATTTGTATTTACTGTCGTACCGTCATGAAGCAACAGACCCTCAAACTTACATATGCTATGCTCAAGGTAAACTTTCCATTTTGGGGATCCAATATTTGTTCCTGTTTACCCGACCCCACATTATACATGGATATTTTGCCTTCATTCGAACCGGAGATGACATATTTATCGCATGGTGAAAATGCCACTGTCCACAAATCGACAGGTCCAAATGATAGCAAATGTTTCTGTTGGCCACTCTCAGAATCCCAAAAACATAAACTGGAATCCAAGGAACTGCTGGCAATTGCTGCAACAAACAAATATTTAATAACATTGACGATATTTGTATTTTGCCTATACCTACTTTTGCCATCGGAACTCACTGCCACCGATACAACACCCAGCGAATGTCCCTTCAATTGATGTCGCAGTTTTAATGTGTTATCCTCCTTGATGTCCCACACCTTAACCAAATCATCCAAACCACCGGTGACAATAAAATCTGTGGGTTCTTTCGCTTTACTTTCGAGTCCCAGAAAAGAATCTCTACTGGCATCCGGATCCTTTTCTGTAGCCGATTCATCTGCTGCAGATTTTTCAGCTGGTTGTGTTCGACCCCATGAACATGACCAAATACCATCTTCATGAGCCGTTTCTTCTTTGTGCAATAGGGAAAACTAAAATGGAAGTATATGATGTAGTAATTGTTGCTGTTAGCAATTGATATTTACCATTTTACTAAAAGAAAAATAAATAAAACGCCAAAGGATTGTCTGCTGCTGACTTTTTGGCAAATGTAGGAGGCCGGTAATAGGGACCTGTAGATCGTTTTAAGACAATCTCAGTAAAGTGTTTTAAACAGGGATCTAAAGGTTACTTGTCATTGGATATCAATTCATTTGGAATGCCAATTCATTCTTTTGATCTGTTGTCTGTGTAGCTATACTATAGACAACAGACTGGAAAAAAACTAGTTAATTTAGTTAATTTAAGGAAGAGGAACGAAAATATAGCCGAATATTTACCATTTTACTAAAAGAAAAATAAATAAAACGCCAGAATTGAAGATCGTGATTTTCTGCTGCTGTTTTTTGGCTAGGGATAGGAAAGTCGACTTCCGATTAATCTAATAATCGACCTTTAGTGCTCAAAGTTCTGGAATTCGAATTCGACTATGGACTTGGGTGAAAACCGAGTACTCGACTCGATTTCAAATTCCTGTACAACTAATGTGTCCTGTTCGACTTATGGTCAGTTCCAGAACTGCAAGAATGCAGAAGTTTTTACTATGATAACCGATTTTTCCTTTATGATATCAAAAAAAAATAAAAAAAGTTGTGCTTCTAAAGCGCGCGTCCTGGTGTTTTGTTGCAGAAGAGAGCGAATGGGCGTGGGAAACCAAAGTGAAAGTCGTCCCCAACGAAACGAATACTTGATAAAATAGGAATACTTTATAAAAAATAAACAGAAAACAAAATCCATGAGGGACCTCTGTTGTTTACGAATGAGACATGAGGAAAACAACACATTCACTTAAAGAGCACGGTGCTATATATAACCATTGTAAATATAATGTAAAGTGGTTTACAGACCATTGAACAAAACGGTGCAGTCACATGGATTGGGTAGGAGTTACAGGGAAAATGCATGGTAAAATTATTTTGCTTTTGCTTCCATTATATGCTTTCCATTTTATAGGAGGCCGGTAATAGGGACTTGTAGATCGGTTTCCAACCAATCACAATAAAGTGTTTTTACAACAGGGATCTAAAGGTTACTTCTCATGGGTTATCAACTCATTGGAATGCCTAGTCATTCTCTTGAGAAATGACACAACTACTGGGTAAAGTAGTTCTTTCGGAGCGTATTTAAACATATTGTTTTATTAATTTTACACATGAATTGTCGATTTTAGAATGAGGATCTGCCGGAAACTTTGCATTAACTACCAATGCGTCCAAGAAAAGTTACAGTTTACAGCGGTTTATTGACTGGTGGCAACATTGGACCGTAAAGAAACGGCAAATTGTAACGTAACTGTGTTTGTTTGTTTATTTTTTCCCAAAATGCAAGAGTTTGATTTGCATAACGGTAATACATGTCACCGATATTCAGTACTGCCAGAATACCGCCTTTAAAAAAGCAACAGGATGCCTTCTCATGACACCTGTCGACCACCTACATAAGGATGCGAAGGTCTTACCGGTGCGACAGCATAATAAAATGCCCAATCATCAAAATTAAATGTGAATTTTCTGACCAATTGTGATTAAAATCGAGTTCAACTTTAGATTCTTTCTTGTGCAATTTCGCCAAGAGATGATAACATTAATTTTTCTACTATTTGGTGGATATTATTAAAGAAATAAAATAAAAAATGCGTTAATTGTTACCTATTACTTGGAGAAAATGAAAAATCGGCAAACTATAACACACTCAAAAAACGATTATGATACGATTTTCACCATAGGCAAAAATCGATTTCCACTTTTAGACACCAAAATCGATAAAACCAAAAGTCGACTTACATATCCCTAAATTGTCAGAGAAAATATTGTCTTTTCTCAATTTCTCAAGTTCGGACGGTGTTTACGCGACGGAAAGAAAAATTCGAAAGAAAATAATTATCTTCTATTGCTAACATAAATTATGTAAAAAATAGTGATTGTATTTCAACGAAACCAACAGTGTCACAAAAATATTTGAGCAGCAAAAAAACTCAAACGTGTTCTAAAATATTGTAAGATATTATTTAAAAATTTATGAAAAAAATCTCCATTTGTGTGTGATTTATTATGTGTGGTGTGTCGTCTGTGTAGTTGGTTGTTGGAGGAAAAAAGTAACTAATAATAAAAAAACACAGGGGCACAAGAAGCAAAGTAAAAAATAATATGAAGTGTTAAGAAGAAATTGTTAAAAAAAGTTAACTATTTTTCTGTGCAAATAAAAAGAGATTTCAAAGAAATTTTTGTGTAGACAAAAAGGAATGAGTGGCAAGATGTGAAATATGAGTTGTAAAAAATGCATGAAATGACGTGAATGAATTCCATGTTGGTGGATAAAAAATAATAATTTCATATTGGTTGTCGGTATGAAATAACTGACTGGATAAATAAATGTTTGCAGACCAACACCGAGTTTTTGTGCTGCTGCTGCACCACACATTTTATTTTTTCGCTGGGGAGTGGGTGTGTTTGTGTGTGTTGTTGTTGCTGCTGCCGCCACTACTGACAGCAAGCATAGCATGCATGTTGGAGAAGTTCAATTCTAATCTTTTTCCCAAATATGACCATACAAATTTCCCCTTTTTGCTTTGCCTCGTGAACAATTCAATTGAAGATTTATTTATAAATGCTGTGAAATAATGTGTGTGTGTTTTTTTTTTTTTTTTCTCAAGAAAACTTTCGTTGTTACGAAACATTAATTGTAGTTAGCTGTAAATCTTATCGGATCACCAAAAAAATTCTTCTTACATAGAAGAGGAGCAGCAGCAAAAGAAAAAAAGTTCTATGTGAAGTGTGTGTGTGTGAGTGTGTTGTGCATGTTGTGTGCCCGTTTCTCTATTTTTACTTTTAATTTCTCTCATTACTGTGTGTTGTTGTTGTTGTTCCTTGCAGTTGATAGTTCTGTTATGTTCTCAGCAAGGCAACATAAATAACAATGAGGGAAACGATGGATGGAGGGGGAGACAGTGAAATGCAAGAAAAACATGCATTTTTTATTTGGATATCACATAAACAATGTGGGATAAAAATTCTAATTGGAGTAATTGAATAAAATTCTTATTGCTTGCTTTTGTCTAATTAATTTGATGTAGAAATCAATGAGAGCCCGCCATTTCTCCCTTTTTGTGGCATAAAGGGAGAAATGAAATTATGTTGAGAACGAGTTGAACATAAACAAAGATGTTGCCAGATTGTGTTAGAAAGGACATTAAAGGCGGGAATAATGGAATTTTAAAGAAATGCTGGAAAATAAACCTGGTTTTACTGGAAATTGGAAAAAATGAGTAAATTCGAATTGGAATTGTAAAAATTTCCAATTAATTTCTTTATCAGATACAGAGAACGATTCGCACAAGAGTTGAATATAAAACATGCTGTTAAAAAGGACAGTAAAAATGGAGACAGCGAAATTTGAAAAAATTGAAATTCAATTTGAAAAAAATCAAACTGGTTTCTTTCTTTTATCAATCATGAGAGCCGGCAATACTCTCTTTATGTCACAAAGAAGGAAGGGATAATAATCATAGACAAATTAAGATATAGACAACGAAAAGTTAGTTTGGTCTTTTTTTCCAGGTGGCTCTCATCATGTTTTGCATAGTCAACATGCTCATTTACGCGTTCAAGCCACTCGACTTCGAAAACACTTTTTATCGTTTTTCAAGAATTTCACTGGAGTATTCCCATTTTTTTCGATGTCATCTCGTAATTTTCACATTTATTTTATTATGGAACAATTTCCAACTGACAAATATCCTACAGTTTTTGTTATTTTTAACGTTTTAGAATTGAGTGACTTCAATATTCCCACTCAAACCCCTGAAACGATATAGACGACATCTGCTGATTCGATTTTTTTCGAAGATAAACGGTGAGAGCATTTCGTTGTCTATATTTTCATTTGTCTATGTAATAATATGAAATTAGAGCAGAAGGTAAACCACGACGTTGCCAGATTATCTGAAGTAGCATGCTTCAAAGGGCAATATGAAAATATGAATTTGGAAGAAATGTTCAAAAATAAATCTGCTCCGACTGAATAATTGGAAAAAAATCCAATTAATTTTCCTTCTTTAATCAATTGGATATTAAGTCGGATTTTTAAGGGCTATAAGAAAGTTTTTCAAAAAATCAATGCAACGTCATCAAATTTACAACATCTTTAGTTCGGGTCAGCAACGTAAACAAATAACAAATTTAGAAAAATTTGTTTCGATGTACCGGATAGAATCAAGTTTTCCGGGTTGAAAAAACCATATCTCATATAAAAATCAAAAAAAATCTTTATTTGAATTGATAATACCTAAGCAGCATCAAATTTATAATTTTTTTCCGGGTTGAAAGACCGATATCTACAGATCCTAGAAAGATATAAAACAAATATTCTAGCATTTACGAATGCTTCTAGTGTCAACTATAATTTGGCGTATATTTCGTTGTGAAATGGTGCCTTTTCGAATTTTGGGGAAATTTAAAAAAACTAAAATCCAGATCCAAAAAATAGCTAATTTTAATATGACTCCCGAACCGTTTCAAATAATCCCATATGAACCTTTGTTGGATAGGAATTTCCTTTGGCTTTCAAATGGAGCTTTATAATGTCCACATCGGTTTAGTTGGTCCGCTTCTATCACAGGTCTTGAACCCGGACTTTCGTGTCGAATATTCAAGTACGTCCCGCAAGAAAAAAATTACTTTCTCGGAATCAGGATATGAAATGATCTCTTTGGAAAAAGTTAAAAAAATCCAAGAGTTTTTACTAAACTAGAGTTAATCTATATTTAATTAGTAGGAATTTCGAGAAAGTTTGGAGATGGGCAATATCGGTCTACTCCTTCTGGTACCTCTCACACAAAATATCAAAATTTTCAAAGAAAATAATTTACTGCACAGAAGGAGAAAGGATAATCTAATTTTGCTCCAACTTTGCGAATCCTAACATTTGTATTAGTCCTAGGTCAGGTGCAAAAGTGGACAATATTAGTCCACTCCATCAAGTACCTCCCCTACAAAGGGTCAAAATTTTGAATAATTATAACTCTTATAAAATGGGATTTTCCGATTGTCTTCAAATTGCCGCACATCATAATATTTTTATTCGCCCAAGGTCTGGTGTGAAATTGGGGTATATCGATCCACTCCCTCTGGTACCTTCCCCACAAAGGGTCAACATTTTCAAATTCCATGAAGCTCATAAAACACGAAATTAACATCCGATTCCACTCAGACTTGGCACATCTCATTATTTCTATAAACATAAGATCTGTTATAAAGATGGTGGAAATCGGGCCATTCATTCTCGTACCTACCCCACAGAAGGTCATAGTTTGGAAGAATCAAAACGATCATAAAATCCGAAATATGTATCCCGTTCTCTTCAAATTAGACACAGCGCAATATTTTTACTAAGCCAAGGTGTGGTGTGAAATTGGGATATATCGGTCCACTCCTTCTGGTACCTCCACCACAAAGATCAAAATTTTGAGTATCCTAAAATTAAAAGATCCTAAAACGCGAAATTAACATCCGATTCCATTCAGACTTGGTATTTTTCAATATTTCTATCAATACAAGATCTGTTATAAATATGGTACAGATCGGACCATTTTTTCTGGTGCCTCCCACACATAGAGTTCAAGATTTTTGAAAAACAAAACGCTCATAGAAAGCTATATAAGTATCCAACTCTCTTAAAATTTCACACATCCATTAACTCAGCTACCAGAAGACTTGGATACTAACTATTTCGCAGAAACATTCAAATTCCATACGTTCTAAACAAAGAATTGCCTTTGGACCCAATTTCGCCGCACAAGATTGATCCGTAGTCTCCTGACAAACAAATTTTCCCCCCATTGCATAACTAATGAAAAATAATGGAAATTCGAAACAAAGCGAGGATTATTTATCTCCACTGCACAACTTGCAATATTTCAAATTCTAAAATGATTTGCAAAACAACCAATCATAATTATTTCGATTAACTGCCATTCTGTTGATGAATCATCAATCTTTTGTTAATCACAATTTGTTGCCATTTTTGTGCCTTAATTGTTTTGCGTTGCTTTGACCAAATATGGCCGACCAAAATAAATACAAAAAAATGAAACAAATTTTTCCGTTTTTCGACAAGGTTAGAACTCTCCGTGATTGCCACTTATCTGTTTTTTTGTTTGCGGCTGATAACCAATTTATAAATATCTACAACTTTCAATTCATTCACAAAAATGGAGAGAATATGCTTTAGTTTCAAAAGTTGTCGGAATACTTGAAAAGTTGTCACAATTTGGTTATGTCAGTATAGTGTCTGAAAATAAGTCTTTAGAAAATCCTCAGAGTATTGTAATTGGAAAATGTTAATAGAGATTCATAGGCTATAAAAATACAATAACTAAAATTGTATTCAGGATTCTTGTAACAACTCCTTCTGGTACCTCCCGCACAAAAGGTCAAAATTTTCAAAACTTTTTTACTGCACAGAAAGAGAAAGGAGGATAATCGGATTTTCTCCAATTTTGCGAATCCTAATATTTGCATTAGTGCCTGGTCAGTTGCGAAAATGGACAATATCGGTGCTCTCCGTCAACTACCTGCCCCACAAAGTTTTAAAATTTAGAATAATTTTTATTAACCCAAAGTCTGGTGTGAAGATAGAATATATTGGTCCATTGCTTCTGGTATCTCCGCCACAAAGGGTCAAAATTTTGAACATTCATGAAGCTCATAAAACGCGAAATTAACATCAGATTCCATTCACACTTGGTACATCTCAATATTTTCATCAGCACATGATCTGTTATAAAGATGGTAGAGATCGAACCATTCCTTCTGGTACCTCCCCCACAAGGGGTCAAAGTATTGAATAACCAAAACGATAATAAAATCCGAAATAAGCTTCCGTTTTCCCTTCATATTTCAAACATCCGATTATTTCTATTAACACGAGATCTGCTGTGAAGATAGGATGTATTGGTCCATACCTTGTGGTACCTCCCCCACAAAGGGTCAAAATTTTGAACATCCATGAAGTTCATAAAACGCGAAATTTACATCCGATCTCATTTAGACTTGGCACATCTCAATATTTCCATCAGCACATGATCTGTTATAAAGATGGCATCGATCGAACCATTCCTTCTGTTACCTCCCCCACAAAGGGTCAACGTTTTGGTCTCATAATGTAGTCCGGCAGGTTCGGACTACACGTCGCAAGATTTATATGAAATTTATTTAGGTCCGATAAGATATGGACAATATTGGCACACTCCTTCGGAACCTACTCCATAGGAGGTCAACAATTTGAATAATCATAACAGAAGTCTAAATATATTTAAACAATCGAATATTGGCTGAGGGCATATATCTGTCCGCAAAACCGACTGACATTATAGTCGAAGCTATTTTACATTTCTTTTACATTTAATTATAAAAATTCTTATTTATTTGTGTTTAAATATAAAAATATTTCGATTACTGGCAAACGTCGAACTTAGGCGCATTTAAACTACATTTTTTTGCTGAAATAACATTTCTCTTTCGATTAATATAATTATCTAATGGAATAATTATTTTTCATGAACGTATATATTCTCAAGATAAATCGTTTTTCATTTTCCCACTGAGAATGTCTACAAATTATTGGGTCATCAAACGCATTTTATGATCCCCACATTTCATAAAATTTTTCCCGATCTGGTAACACCAGTATCATATGACATGCAATTTGTTTCCTTATGTATGTTTATTCTGGCCATTTTAGCCAGCCGCCTAATTTTGCCATTTCCAACAAAAGAGGAAGGAAATATTCCAAACGCACTTAACAACAACTAATTTTTATTGGGGGATGTTACCGATGATGCGGCTGCTGTTTGTGGTGGTCTCTATACTCATTAATGGAGTACCACGCACACCGCACACAATGTACAATCTTGTTTGTTTTTGTTATCCCAAATTTTTTTCTGTCTCTGTGTCTCTCTGGCTGTCTGGATCAAAAACGAAAAGAAGTAAAGAAAAGATATTTGTCTTGCACACTTTTGCACATTTGTATGTCCGTGCAAACAATGAATACATGTGTGTGGCAGGGGTATGACATTTAAACGTCATCGATTCTCAGTCGTGAAGATACAAGGAGAATGACGGCAGGCCATGTGAGATGAGGATGGTGTGATTTTTTTGCCGAAATTCAGTACAATGAGACGAGGTTTCTCCTTGCTGCCAGGGGTTTCTTTCTTATTGTAGTTTTTGTTATTGGCTCTCAGGCACTTCTTTAAAGTTGTTGTTTCACATTTTTGCCGGATGCTGTATGGACATACTACTACCCACATAAAGTGCTGCTGCTAAAGTGTCAGACTCTTGCAGTTTTTTTTTGTATTTTCTTCCTTCCTTTGTTCATGCAAAATTCCCTGCTTGAAGTAGTAGTTAGGCGCTCTCTGTCTCTCTCTCTCTGTCTTTTCTCTCCATCTAAGTGCCATTCCCTCTCAATGCCATTTAATGACTTGGTGTTTTGTTTATTTTGTTCTTGTCTGTGTTTAGATTTTAAGAAAGAAATCATTCATTTTGGTAGAAGTTTGTTTCAGCCTCTACTTATTTGGCATTTTCAGTTTCGTTTGGGAAGATTTTTCTTTTTTTTTTAAAGTTCAATGGAAACGGCAAAGAAACGTGTAAGAAAATGTGAGTAAATAAGCAATTAAATCAAATAATTGTTTCCAATTGGAATTGAGATTTTCAATTGAAGAAGTGAGAAATTGTCCATCACACACGTGTCTTGGGAGGTGTAATTTGTGGATGTCCATCAAAAAAAAAAAAAAATAAATAAATAAATAAATAAAAAAAAAATTAATAAATAAATAAAAAAATAAAAATAAAATAAATAAAAATAAATAAATAAAATAAAAAAAAAAATAAAATAAAAAAATAAAATAAAAAAAAATAAATAAAATAAAAGAAAAAATAAAATAAAAAAATAAATAAAATAAAAAAATAAATAAAATAAACAAGTTAAATGAAATCAGTCGGTGTTGAAGATAGCTGCATATTCTCAGCCAATGTTCGATCATTTAAATATATTTTGGCTTGCGTTATGATTATTCAAACTGTTGACTCTTATGAAGGAGAGGTTCCGAGGGAGTGGGTCAATCTTTTCCATTTCGTATCTGACATAAGTCTGATATTAAAACGTATCAGATTTGGGTTTATATAGACTTCTTCTTTCACTTTTAATTAGACATTTAGTAATGTTTCGAAAAAGAGTTCTAATTATTTAAAATTTTGACCCGTTGTGGGGGTGGTACCAAAGGATATTGTTCATCTTCACAAGTATTGGAATGTGCCCAGTTTGAAAGTAATCCGATGCTCATTTTGCGCTTTGTGTGCTTAATGATCATTCCTAAATGGTCATTCCAAATGTTGACCCTTTGTGGGGGAGGTACCAGAAGGAGTGGTCCGACATATTCCATCTTTACACATGTTCTTATGTTCATAAAAATATTGGGATGTACTAAGTTTGAAAATAATCGGATGCTCATTTCAAATTTTATTAGCTTCATGGATATGCAACATTTTGACCCTTTGTGAGGAAGGTACCGTAAGGAGTGGGCCGATATATCCGATCTTCACAGCAGATCTTGTGTTAGTAGAAATAATGGGATCTGTGAAATATGAAGAGAATTGGATGCTTATTTCGGATTTTAAGATCGTTTTGGTTACTAAAAACTTTGACCCTTTGTGGGGGTGGTACCAGAAGAAGTGGTCGTATCTCTACCATTTTTATAACACATCTTGTGTTGGTGGAAATATTGAGATGTGCTAAGTCTGAATGGAATCTGATGTTAATTTCGCGTTTTAGGAGCTTCATGGAATTTGAAAATTTTGACCCTTTGTGGGGGAGGTACCGTAAGGAGTGAACCGATATATCCCATCTTCACACCATATCTTGTGTTAGTAGAAATAATGGGATGTGTGAAATATGAAGATATTTGTATGCTTATTTCGCATTTTTTATAAACGTTTTGGTTATTCAAAACTTTGGCCCTTTGTGGGGGAGGCACCAGAAGGAATGGTGAGATCTCTACCATTTTTATAACAGACCTTGTGTTGATGGAAATATTGAGATGTGTTAATTTCGCCTTTTAGGAGCTTCATGAAATTTGACAATTTTGACCCTTTGTGAGGGAGATACCGTAAAGAGTGGACCGATATATCCGATCTTCACAGCATATCTTGTGTTAGTAGAAATAATGGGATGTGTGAAAAACGAAGAGATTTGGATGCTTATTTCGGATTTTATAATCGTTTTGGTTATTCAAAACTTTGGCCCTTTGTGGGAGAGGTACCAGAAGATGTGGTCGGATCTCTACCATTTTTATAACACATCTTGTGTTGGTGGAAATATTGAGATATGCCAAGTCTGTATGGAATCGGAAGTTAGTTTTGCGTTTTAGGAGCTTCATGGATATTCAAAATTTTGACCCTTTGTGGGGGATGTACCACAAGGAGTGGACCGATATAGTCCATATTCACACCGTACCTTAAGTTAATAAAAATATTGTGATGTGTCTAATTTGTAGACAATCGGACACGTACATTACATTTTATAAAAGTTTTAATTATTAACCCTTTTTTACCCTTTGTGGGGGAGGTACTTGAAGGGCCGATATCATCCATTTTGAAGTTGGAGGAAAATCAGATTGACCTTTCTCTTTCTGTGCAGTGAAATATATATTTTTTTTTTTTTGAAAATTTCGACATTTTCTGTGGGAGCTACCAGAAGGAATGGGCCCATCTCCGAACACGATCTAAGTTTGACAATATTATTACAATGTATCAAGTTTGGATCAAATCGGATGATCCCGTCGAGAGATATCGTGCGCACCAGCCAGCAGACAGACAGACGGACGGGCATCGTTAAATCGACTTCAAATGTCCTGAAACAGATTTGGTCCGTTATCGAAGATTTCTCATTTGAAGACATTTGAAGAACTAGGGAAACCATTACTGCCAACTGAATCGATTCGATTCCACGTGTTTTGCCTATGTACAAAAAATTGATGCTAGTATTTATTTTTATAGTTTCCCCCACTCTCCCCTTTCTTCAGGGAAAAAATATGTTTATTACTTTCCCGAAAATATGCACCATAAACTTTTGTTTATCACTTTGACACATTTCAAATGTAAAAAACATCAACAAAATACTTTTCAACGTGCTGTCAATACATTGGATCATCATTTTCATTCAGTAAATTTTACCATCTAAACAAAGACAAGAAAACAACAACAATAATAACAAAAACAATAACAACGCCACTCAATGGCTGTAAGACAAAGATGATTTTGTGCAAGTGAAGTTAAAGGTTATGAAAAGAGAGTTTAATGGCATTTGAGGTTAATGGCCGCTCACACCACTACTTTACTCCTCTTTACTTGATATTTCAACGCCATCTCTCTCTCTCCCCCCAGTCTGGGAGTAGCTCTTTTACACATTAATCAGAGATGTAATGGCAGCGGCTGTCAGCAGGTTGTACAATAACGGCACGGCGTCATATTCAACACATGCAACGGCAGCAGCAGCAGCAACAATAACAACAATGAAGATCCCAAATCAAAGAAAACTCTCATTAAATTGCCTTACTCTTCTTCTTATTATCTACAATGTTTTCCTTTTTTCTTCTTTGTTTAAATAACAAAACCAATGAATTTATTACAACTATTTTTTGTTTTTGTTTCGTTTCTTTTTTTTCTCTGTAAACAGAATTAAAAAAATACACAAATCCACAAATAATAAGCAATTTTCAATTGAGACCAAAAAATTAAAAAAAAACGGAATATTCTCCTCAATAATTCTTTAAATTTGTCTGGACCCAACAACCGAAGAGACTTCGACAATTTAAGGTAAGTCTAAAAAGAAATTCCCCCCCCAAAAAAAAAAACTTATGAAGAAGAAAACAAAAATTATAATTGAATTCTAGTCACACCTTTTGGAATGAAAACAAAACAAAAATAAATCCATGTGCGCCAAAAATTATGAGTATGAGGTGGTGCACACACTCACACTGTGTGAGTTCATCATTCATTCTCTCTCCGTCTCTCTCTCTCTCTCTCTCTTGGTTAGGTGGCAGACAGACAATGTTTTGTTGAACCTACGAAGATGGAGCTTAACAAAGGGACTTTGTCTTTAGATTTTTAATAAGTTGTAACTTTCTTTGTTTGTCTGTCTCGTCCACAAATTCCTCCAGCATATTAACCAGATTTACAAAAGGCAGGTCATTGTCATGGTGGCAGGGTGTTGGGGATTTCTAATTACACAAAAATTGATAAATAAAAATAAAATAAAATTGAATTTTAGTTGAATATTGAAACAATGAGTAGAAGGATGGAGTTAAAAGGTATTTCGGATGGAAAAATAAGTAAAAAATAGTGTTACTCCTCAAATCGGGATAGTGCAATGACACTTTATTTCCCAAAAGAGGTGTTATTTTAGGTGAGATGTTATTTATCGGACCTAAATAAATTTGATATAAATATTGCGACGTGCCAGGATTGGACTATATTGGTTACTTCATCCACTCTATATGTGATATTTGATAATTTTTAGAAAATGTTAAAATGTGCGTGAGGTAGCAGATATAGTCGACCGAAGAATTCCATTTTCATACTTCATCCAATACAGATACAAATATTGGTATGCGCAAAATTACGAGAAAATCCAACATCGAAATCATAAATTTCGATGAATTAAATATTCATATCAGATTTCTAGTTAAGAGAAATATTTAGATATATCAAGTTGTAAAGGATCGCCGCCTTGTTTCGCAAGTTATGACAGATATAGGAATTAGAAATTGTGATACTTTGTGGGTGAGGTACCAGAAGAGGTTGGCAGATATATATAATATTCACAACAGATCTTGAGTTAGCAAAAATATTTGGATGTGTGAAATTTGAAAAGTGTCGGATGCTTAATTCGCTATTTACGAGCGTTTTGTTTTTCAAAATCTTGAACTCTATGCGGGGGAAGGTGCCAGAAGAATCAATACAGATCTTGTATTGACAGAAATATTGAAAAATACCAAGTCTGAATGGAATCGGATGTTAATTTCGCGTTTTAGGAGCTTCATGGATACTCAAAATTTTGACCCTTTGTGGGGGAGGTACCATAAGGAGTGGACCGATGTTTTCCATCTTCACACCAGACCTTGGTTTAATAAAAATATTTCGATGTGTGTAATTTAAAGAGATTCGGATACATATTTCGGATTTTATGATCGTTTATTTAATTATTCCAAACATTGACCCTTTGTGGGGTAGGTACCAGAGTGAATGGTCCGATTTTAACCATCTTTATAACAGATCTTGTGTTTATGGAAATATTGAGATGTGCCAAGTCTGAATGGAATCGGATGTTAATATCGTGCTTTATGAGCTTCATGAATTTTCAAAATTTTAACCCTTTGTGGGGGAGGTACCAAAAAGAATGGTCCGATCTCTACCACATTTATAACAGATTTTGTGCTGCTATAAATATATTGAGATGTGTTAAGTCTTAATGGAATCGGATGTTAATTTCGTGTTTTATGAGCTTCATGGAATTTGAATATTTTGACCCTTTTTGAGGGAGGTACCAGAAGAAGTGGATTAGTATATCCTATCTTCACAGCATATCTTGTGTTAATAGAAATAATGGGATGTGAGAAAAATGAAGAGAACCGAATGCATATATCGGATTTTATGATCGTTTTTGGTAATTGAAAACGTTGGCCCTTTGTGTGGGTTAGGTACCAGAAGGAGTGATCGAATCTCTACCATTTTTATAACAGATCTTGTGGTTTTGAAAATATCGTCTGAATGAAATCGGATGTTAATTTCGCGTTTTATGAGCTTCATGGATATTCAAAATTTTGACCCTTTGTGGGGGAGGTACCAGAAGGAGTAGGCCGATATATTCCATATTCACACCAGACCTTTGATTAATTCAAACATTGGGATGTGTGTAATTTAAAGACAATTTATTTCACATTTATTAGGAGTTATAATTATTGCAAATTTTGACCCTTTGTGGGGGAGCTACTTGATGGAATTGACCGATATTGTCCAATTTCGCACCTAACCAAGCATTGATAAAAATATTGGGATTTGAAACGTCTACTTAAAATTGGGAGGCCCTTTCTCTTGGTAAAAGTTAAATTATTTTCTTTGAAAATGTTGATGAGGGAGGTACCGGAAAGACGACCGATATTGCCCATCTCCGAACTCGATCTAAGTTTGACAATAATATTAAGATGTAACAATTTTTAACCAAATCGGATACTGCCTTTGAAAGTTACTGTGGACACCAACCATAGAGACAGACGGACGGACATCGCTAGATCTACTCCAAATGTTTTGAAACGGTTTTGGTCCAAAGAGACCTAGGCCCTAAAGCCCTTATTTCGATGAGGCACGTTTTGGTCGTATCAAATCAGGGTATATATGTTAGGCCATATGGTTATAAAAACCCATTATTGGGTAATGCAATTTTTTTGACTGGATCGTTCAAACTTCGCCCATCGTTATATTACCTATAGCGTGCAGTCGAACCGAATTCGTTTTTTTATTGTTTGTCAATTTTTTTTCTATTTTATTGTAATTTTCGATTTTTATTTTCCAAAATACAAAAATGTGCCTTATCAAAAAAAAACGTCGTTAGTTATTGCTTTAATAAGTCTACGCTTATCTTATCTGAATGGAACGGCATTAGACGCAAAGCTTTGTTATCAAATCTCTGCCCTTAGACTCCGAAAAAAATGCGTTTATTATAATTTGTTTTGAAATCCACACAAAAGAGTTTTGTTTTTTGATCACACCTGGTTGAAATCGTTTGGCCTAAATTGGTTAATTGTTTACGGTATTTGGAATATTTCAATTAAGGTGGGCGGGGGGTGGAGGATGAAGGAGGTTATTGCTTGAGCAAATTTCACCAAAGGCATAAGAAATCAATTGCAAAAATTATTTTGACAATAAATATCAAAATTCGAAGTAAAATGAAATTTGGATTTGTTCAGATAACTTCCTATCTGAACAAATCCTAATTCCATTTTCCATATGGGAGTTTCCATATGGGAATTAGTATTTGAAGACTACACTTATTTCCAATTAGTTTTTTTTTTATAAAATATCCTAGTTATACCCCCCTCAGCCATATGCTAGGGAGGCTATATATCATTTGATAAGGCCAAAATGTGCCTCATCAAAAAAAAAAAAAAAAACGGTTTTAGACCCTTGGTCTCTTTGGACCAAATCCGTTTCAGGACATATGGAGTCGATCTAGCGATGTCTACCTGTTCGTCTCTCTGTCTGGCTGGCTGGCTGGCCCTCTATCTTTAGCAGAGAGTATCCGATTTCGTTCAAACTTAGTACATCATAATATTATTGTCAAACTTTGATCGAGTTCGAAGTAGGTGAAATATCTGTCCACTACTTCTGGTACCTCCCCCACAAAACGTCAACTTTTTCAAAGAAAATAATTTACTGCACACAGGAGGAGAAAATTTTGTCAGATTTTGCAAATCCTAATATTTGCCTCAGTGCTAGGACACAAGCGAAAATGGACAATATCGGTACACTCCATCAAGTACCTCTCCCACAAAGGGTCAAAATTTTGAATAATTATAACTCTTATAAAATGTGATCCGATTGTCGTAAAATTACACCTATCACAATATTTTATTAAACCGAGGTCTGCTGTGAAAATGGAATATATCGGTATACTCCTTCTGGTACCTCTCCCACAAAGGGTCAAAGTTTTGAATAACCAAAACGATCATAAAATCTGAAATAAGAATCAGGTTCTCTTCATATTTCACACATCCCATTATTTCTACTAACACAAGATCTCCTGTGAAGATGGGATATATCGGTCCACTCATTCTGGTACCTCCCCCACAAAGGGTTAAAATTGTGAATATCGATGAAGCTCATAAAACGCGAAATTATCATCCGATTCTATTCAAACTTGGTACATCTTAATATTTCTTTCAACACAATGTCTGTTATAAAAACGGAAGGGATCGGAACATACCCTCTGGTACCTCCCCCGCAAAGGGCCAAAATTTTGAGTAGCAAAAAAACAATTATAAAATCTGAAATAAGTATCCGATTATCTTCATATTTCACACATCCCATTATTTCTACTAACACAAGATCTGCTGTGAAGATGAGATATATCGATCCACGTCTTTTGGTACCTCCCCACAAAGGGTCAAATTTTTGAATATCCATGAAGCTCATAAAATGCGAAATTTACATCCGATTCCATTCAGATTTGGTACATCTCGATATTTTAATCAACACAAGATCTCTTATAAAAATGGAAGGGATCGGAACATTCCTAATGGTACCTCCCCCACAAAGGGTCAAATTTTTGAATAACCAAAAAAAATTATAAAATCTGAAATAAGTATCCGATTATCTTCATATTTCACATATCCCATTATTTCTACTAACACAAGATCTGCTGTGAAGATGAGATATATCGATCCACTTCTTTTGGTACCTCCCCCATAAAGGGGGAAGCTCATAAAACGCGAAATTTACATCCGATTCCATTCAGATTTGGTACATCTCAATAGTTTAATCAACACAAGATCTGTTATAAAAATGGAAGGGATCGGAACATACCCTCTGGTACCTTCCTGACAAAGGGTCAAAATTTTGAATATCCATGAAGCGCATAAAACGCGAAATTAATATCCGATTCCATTCAGATTTGGTACATCTCAATATTTTAATCAACAGAAGATCTGTTATAAAAATGGAAGGGATCGGAACATTCCTTATGGTACCTCCTCCTCCCACAAAGGGTCACAATTTTCAATACTTTTATCTGTCATAACTTGCAAAAAAAAAATAGCGAT